GTGGCTCCAGAACGGCAGAGGAGGCCCGTCCTCCTCCTCACCCGGGAGCCCCGGCACCACCCCGGCAAGGCGGATCAAGCGCTCACTGCCAGCGGGACACTGGCAGCTGCCCCCCAAAATGGATGTGGTCACTAACCTGGAATCGGTGGGGCCTGGGACAGAGCAGGGGAGCATTTGCAGCCTGACAACCGCCGCCACTTCTTCCAGCAAAACTGAAGGAAGCTGGGGAAGGGGGCAGGGCTAGGGGAGGAGAAGGGGAGGGAGGGGAGGGGAGGGGGGGGAGGAGTCGTTCCTGTGGACCGCACAGGCTTGTCCAGCCAAGACAGAGACCCTGCGCATTACAACTGGGTGGCCACTCAGCCGGTCCTGCAGCCAAGGAGATGCGGGCCACGAAGGCGAGGTTACTCCTGAGGCCTTAGAAAACACCTGAGGCCGGAGATGACACAAATCATCCATTCACTTTAGCTTTCTGATATCATATCAGAGTTTAATAGCATGCTGTTATTAGTGACCCGGGTACAAATGATGCAGATACTGTTTGACTTCATATTATCATATCAAACTAGCAAATACGTAAAAATACCTGAAATGAAAAGAATGAGCAAGGCAGGCTCTCTTTTGCCAGAAGATCATTAAAATTTATGAAAATGTATCAAGCCTGGAGTGGTGGCCTACCCATGACTCAGCAGCCTGTAATCCCAGCACTTGGGAAGCTAAGCAGAATGGTGAAGACCAGACGGGGTCTGGCTAAATAGAAAGACTGCTTCAAAAACGTATAAAAATGTTATCAATTTAAAATTACATATATTTGTAATTTTACATACTTTTATCTATGTATATAAGTACATATATATATATATATATATATACTATGTATGTGTGAAAATGTAATTTCAACCTATATAACTGAGATACCATTTATTTCTGTTTTGTAAAGGATTGGATGACACAAACATTCTGGGAAAAACAACAACAAAGAACACCCAACATTCTGCCCTTGGAGATTCTTGGTGTCATCTGGTCTGAGCAGTCACTTGGGGGAGGGGCACAGAGGAAGGAGATACTACAAGCTCAGATAAAAGTCCAGAACTAGTTGGACAACTAAAGAGAATTGAACCAGGTATCAAAAGATTGCCCTGAACAGTATTTGAGGCAAATGGAAGGTCACAGGAATTGCAAAGGAAGCAAACAGGTAAGTGCCTCTTGACCTCTGGCTAAGAAGCTCACAAAATGTACTTTATCTCCCTCCCGTCACAGAGGTTTTAGGAGTGTGTCTCATCCTCCTGTGTTGCTATTATGATGATGCAGCCTAGAGCATGCTTATGCCCTGAGATTCTTCTAGGACCATCAGATTGTCGATAGCAGTGGGGCAGTAGTATGTTGAAATGACCTCGGGAGATATCAAAAATACCTAAGTATGAGAAGACAGTGTATCCAGCCCTTGATTTGATATGGAAGATGAAGGATTAAGTAGATGCTGCAGCATATTGACAGAAGGGGGTGGATTTGTGAAATAAATTGTGTTTTTTCTCTACTTCATTTGGTGACAGTAGGGAAATTAAGGATAAGGGCTTTCAGGAAGTACCATTCATCTTAATGATACTGAGAAAAATAGAATCACTTCCTGCTCCTCATTCAGGAAATGGGAACAAAAGACACAAGAATGTAGTTTATACATTATCATCCAGTTTATCTATAGTATACATTTTTATTATATGAAGTGGTAAACAGAAAAATGTACATTATTAAGCCCATGCACTTAGAATACCTTGTTTTTCCTTTTTTGCTTTATTTAAGTGACGTTCCTTTGAACATTTTAATGTGTTCTATAAATCTAAGGCATTTTCATTAACTAGAAAACTTTTCTCTTAATTATAGTTAGTAGACTATTCAATATAAAAATTAAAGTTCTAGGCGCCGGGTAGCATACACCTGTGATCCTAGCTATCCAGGAGGCTGAGATCTGAGGATTGAGGTTCATAGCCAGCCAGCCAGGAATGTCCCTGAGACTTTTTTTTTTTTGGTCGGTCGTGGGGCTTGAACCCTGGGCCTGGGCGCTGTCCCTCAGTTCTTCAGCTCAAGGCAAGCACTCTACCACTTGAGCTACAGCACCACTTCCGGTTTTCTGGTGGTTTATTGGAGATGGGAGTCTCACTGTCTCTCCTGCCCGGGCTGGCTTTGAACTGCGATCCTCAGATCTCAGCCTCCTGGTAGCTAGAATTGCAGGCGTGAGCCACCAGCGCCCAGCTCCCTGAGACTATTATCTCCAATTAGCCACCAGAAAACCTGAAGTGGCGCTGTGGCTCAAGTGGTAGAGTACTAGCCTTGGGCTGAAGAGGTGAGGGACGCCCAGAGTTTAAGCCCCACAATGACAGAAAAAAAATTAAAGTATTTATTGGTGTTTATAATTGCTAGTTGTTTTGTATATTCCATATTCTTTGTATATATAAATTATTCTGCTGTAGAAATTAATAGTAGCTAGAATTATAGACGTGAGCCACCTGCGTCCGGCTTAAAACAATTTTTTTAATTAATAGCTTCAAGTTCACAGAAGAATTGTTAGACAGTACACAGAGACTTGTATACTCTAATACTAGTTCCTCTATTGTTACAATGTTTTTAACTCCTTGCTTATATTTTTTTGCTTAAGGGTAATGCCCTACACGTGAGCCACATCTCTATTAGTGGCTTTTTTTTTCTTTTTTGATCAGTTATGGGTCTTGAACTCAGGGCCTGGGCACTGTCCCTGAACTTTTTTGCTCAAGGCTAGTACTCTACCACTTTGACCTACAGATCTACTTCTGTTTTATTTGTTGTTGTTGTTTTTTGTTTTTGTCAGTTGTGGGGCTTGATTTCTGGGCCTGGGCACTGTCCCTCAGCTCTTCAGCTCAAGGTGAGCACTTTAACCATTTGAGCCACAGCACCACTTCCAGTTTTCTGGTGGTTAATTGGAGATAAGTGTCTCCTGGACTTTTCTGCCTGGGCTGGCTTTGAACCTCGATCCTCAGATCTCAGCCTCCTGAGTAGCTAGGATTACAGGAACAAGCCAGGTTTTTGAGTGGTGAATTGGGGTCTCAAGGGGAATTTTCAGCAGATCTCAGACTCCTGAGTAGTGAGGATTATAGGTGTGAGGCACAGATACTTAGCTTTCTTGTGGCTTTTTGCTGAATAATTGGAGACAGGAGTTTCTTGGATTTTTCTCTCTGAGCTGGCTTCAGACTGGCTTCAAATCCTCAGATCTCAGCCTAGGTGTGAGCCACTGGTGTCCGGCTTTATAGTCTTAACTAAGTTTATACTTAATTTTCCATTAGTTCTACGCATGTGTATGTGTGTATGTGAGTGTGTGTGGTATGTGTGCCATGACTGGGGGGGACAGTATCTCTTTGCTTTTTCACTTAAGGCTGGTGCTGTACCACTTGAGTCTCAGCTCAATTTCCAGAATTTTTGTGGTTAACTGGATACAAGAGTCTCCTAGATTTTCCTACTGGGGCTGCCTTTGAACTGTGATTCTCAGACCTTAGCCCCTTCAGTAACTAGGATTAAAGGCATAAGCCAGTGGTGGCTGGCTCGACTTCTAATTTTGATGATAAATATAATTTTTTTGGGGGGTCCAGTCGTGGGGCTTGTAGTCTGGGCCTGGGTGCTGTCCCTCAGCTCTTCAGCTCAAGGCTAGCTCTCTACCACTTGAGCCACAGTGCCACTTCCGGCTTTTTTCTTTTTGCTTATGTGGTGCTGAGGAATCGAACCCAGGGCCTCACGCATGCAAGGCAAGCGCTCTACCACTGAGCCAACTTCCCAGCCCAATAAGTATAATTTTTTACAAGGCGTATTTGGATGAAAAAGGCTTCTCTGTCTCTATATTTTAAGGAACATTCTAGAATTGGTATTGGTAGTCTAGACTGATTTGGTAAAAGAGATGTTGTATTTAAGATCAATGGATTTGTCCATTGCCTATGCTGTTGTGTGTTAATATTTTGGGTAAGTATGATGTACCAGTTTTTTTATTTTAATATATATTTTTATTGTAAAGACACTGTACAGAGGGGTTACAGATGTAGCAGTTGAAAAGAACTATGACTAGCATCGCATGGCACTATAAATCGTTCGATATAATGGTTGGGATTATCATAAGAAAGATGCTGAAGTAGTAAATAAATGCCCAAATTACATACAAGTAGTGAAGAACTCATTAAAGATCCAATGCAAGTAGATATGAATAAAATTCCTATTTGGCTGGTAAACTGAGGCTAAGTTATCACATTTACCCTTGTTTAGTTAGTTCTCTCTAAGTGAGGTTGGGATCAAACCACACTTGAATAAGAACATGAAATGAGTGCTCCAGATTTCTCAGAAAAGAAATCAGAAGTTGATTTGAGTGGATGACCCATGCAAATAATGTAAGACATGGATGAAAATAGCATGGGGATAACTGGGAAATACAGCAGGAAGGGTGTAGTAGAGGTAAGGCAAAGGTACGTTTAGAAGATAAAAACTAGGCATTGGTGGTTCATGTCTATAATCCTAGCTACTTTAGAAGGCTGAGATCTGAGGAACCTTGGTTCAAAGCCAGCCTGGGCAGAAGATGTCTGTGAGACTCTTATTTCCAATTAATCAGAAAAAAAAAAGCTAAAAGTAGAGCTGTGGCTCAAGTGGAAAAGTGCTGGCCTTGAATGAAAAAGCCAATGGAGAATGCAAAGCCCCGAGTTCAGGCACCACCACCATAACATATTTATTTATTTATTTATTTTTTTTGGGGGGGGGGTCCGGTCGTGGGGCCTGAACTCTGGGCCTGAGCGCTGTCCCTCAGCTCTTCAGCTCAAGGCTAGCGCTCTACCACTTGAGCCACAGCGCCACTTGCGGCTTTTTTCTTTTTTCTTATGTGGTGCTGAGGAATCCAACCCAGGGCCTCATGCATGCAAGGCAAGCGCTCTACCACTGAGCCACCTTCCCAGCCCTACCACAACATATTTAAAGAGGATTAAGTTGAGGCCAAATCCAAGTCAAGAGCATTTATTTAAATTCTTTGGCCAATTTGCAAACATCTGCTTAGCCCCTTCCAAAATTTGCTTGGTCCTCACACCATAAATTATAGGGTTGAGCATGGGCGGGATAACCACATAGAGACTGACCAGCAGGATATGGACATAGTGTGGGATGTATTTCCCACCAAACCTGTAGGCAAAGACAGAGAAGAGGGCAGGGACATAGAAGAGCAGGATGACACAGACATGGGAGCCACAAGTGCTCAGGGCTTTGGCTCCGGCTTCTCGGGAAGAGAGGCGGAAGACAGCACAGAGGATGTGAACATAAAAAACAGCAATAAGCATGATGTCCAGGCCGGTGGACAGAAGAGCAGCTGCCAGTCCATACCAGACATTGACGGAGATATCAGAGCAGGACAGACGGGCAATGCCCATGTGCTCACAAAATGTGTGTGCAATAATGTTGACATGACAGTAGTGCAGGCGCTTGAGGAGAAAGATGGACGGAAACATGATAATGAAGCTGCGGGAGAGAGTGGCCATGACAATCCTCCCAATGATGTTCCTTGTGAGGATGGTGGCATATTGCAGAGGGGAGCAGATGGCTACGTAGCGGTCAAAGGCCTTCGCTAGCAGGACGGCAGAGTCAGCCACGAAGAGGAAGTGGATGAAGAACATCTGTGTGAGGCAGCCATTGAAGGAAATGTGGCTAGACCCTAACCAGAAGTTGGCTAGCGTCTTGGGCATGGTCGAGGTTGAGAGTAAGACATCAGCACTGGCCAGCATGGACAGGAAGGTGTACATGGGCTCATGCAGGCTTGGCTGGGAGACAATGATGCAAATCAGAATGCCATTGCCTATCAGGGCAGCTATATACATGGTGCAGAACGGGATGGACAGCCAGATGTGTAGATGTTCTAGCCCTGGGATGCCGGTGAGGAGGCAGCCAGCCGTGCGGGTGTCAGAGTTGTTCCCAGCCATTATGCTGTGAGCAGATAAGAAAGGCATGGTTTTCTGAAAAGCCTGTGTCACAGGGGTAAAATAGCTTCAGATTTCGAATATCAAGACCAACAGTGCTTGTAAAGGCTTGCAAACACACGGTAAGAGTTACATATAACTCACAGGCAAGGACTCTGCACAAAGGATACAGATTGCATGAAGTACATACAGTCAGGCCCTTCCTACAGATTGTGCCTTTTTGTATTATTTGGGAACTGTTTTGTTGTTTGTTTGTTTTGGTATGTGTGTGCCTATACTAGGGCTTGAACTCACGGCCTATGCACTGTACACTATCTGTTAGCTTTTTTCACTCAAGGCTGGTGCTCTACCACTCTACGGCCAACTTTTTGCTGGTTAATTGGAGATAAGAGTCTTATGGACTTTTCTGCTCTTGCAGGTTTTGAACTGAGATCCTTAGATCGCAGCCTTTTGAGTAGCTAGTATTACAGGTGTGAGCCACCAGCTACCAAATCTTACTCAGAACTCCTTACCCAGATGTAAGATTTTCAGAAAACTACAAAGCTCATAAACATTGCATCAATGCATTGTAGCAGTTTCTGAAAAGCAGAGACATATAGAACATCAAAAAACAATTTTTTGGCCTGGTGCTAATATCTCATATCTGGAATCCTAATTGAACTACCAAAAATCTAAAACTAAACTGCCAAAAACTACCACTAAACTACCAAAAAAGCTAAAAGTGGCCAGGTGCTGGTAGCTCACACCTGTACTACTAGCTACTCATGAGGCTGAGATCTGAGGATTGCAGTTCAAAGCCAGCCTGTGCAAGAAAGCCCGTGAGACTCATCTCCAATTAACCACAGAAAACTGGAAGTGGCTCTGTGGCTCAAGTGGTAGAGGACTAACTTTGAGCAAAGAGCTCAATTCAGCTCCCAGGCCCTGAGTTCAAGCCCCACAACCAACCAAAAAAAAAGCCAAATATGGAGCTGTGGCTCAAGTGGTAGAGTGCCAACCTTGAGCAAAAAGGTCAGGGACAGAACCCAGGCTCTGACTTGAAACCCCAGAACTAGCACAAAAGAAAAAACCTCAAACAACTTCTTGACATCATGATGTGGTTTCGTGGTGAACTATAATAAGCTCTGCAAGGGCCCCAGATTCTACTCAGAGAACTGCAGTCCCAAGACTAAAATCAATTGCTTCTGATTAGCAAACTTTGAGCAAGAGGAGGCTTGGAGCACCACACACTCTACCTGCCCCCCCCCTTAGCCCCAGGCAGAGATGGTGTGATAAGCATGGAGGAATTTAAGGCAGCTCTGGAAGTTAGGAATGACCCCTGGAGATCTTGTGAAAGCACCTCCACTAGAGATTTGCTCTGTCTGTATTGATTGTGTGATCCTGGACAAGTCACTGTCTCCTCCCAGTAACCATTTTGTACCTTTTACAATGGGTGTAGATATTGTGCTAATTGTATAGTAAATTAATTTTGTCTGTTGAAGCCATTAAACCAGGTCATGTCATGTGTGTGCTGGAAATGTGGTGCTTCAGAGCAGGAAGGAGCCTGAAAGGCAAGGTTTCTAAACCTATCTTCAGGGTCATCAAGAGTTCTTGGGCTCTATCTATTACAGACTCAGTGAGCTTGCCCCTCAGGTGACTGTGATGCATGCCAAAAGTTTGCAAACCACTTGTAAGGACAGGCCTACTTCTACCTTTATCTATCTGACTATCCTCAGTTCTGCCAGGATCACTGATGTCTTCACCAGTTTCTGCTGCGTTCTTCCTGGAAATGCTCAGACTCCAGCTAAGTCCAACTAGTGTTCATCTCCAGCCTAGATGCTGTAACAACATAGCCATGTTGTGGGCTTTATTGTAGACTAGGCCACTTGAGCCCCTTTTGGTTCTGTTAACTGATTACCACAGTGAATAAAGAATTCTTATTGCAATCCAAATCCTGTTTCTCTCTTAGTTACACTTTTCTCCTGCATAAGGGAGATGGTGAGACCATCAGAAGCCAGCTCCTCACATTGCCACCTCTTCTGTAAGAGACTTAATCCATGCACCTCCTCCCTTCTGAACTTTCTCCTGTCAAAGAGAAGCCTACATCAATGTCCCTCTTCCTTTCCAATGCTTCCTTTATCATAGTTGGAATATATTTTATTTTATCAAAACATAAAGAAAACTTTCTTAATTTTTTAAAAATTATAATGTTTTTTTTTACAGTGTAGTAGATTGAACCCAGGGCCTTTCATATTCTTTTTTTTGGGGGGGGTCCGGTCGTGGGGCCTGAACTCTGGGCCTGGGCGCTGTCCCTCAGCTCTTCAGCTCAAGGCTAGCGCTCCACCACTTGAGCCACAGCACCACTTCTGGCTTTTTTCCTTTTGCTTATGTGGTGCTGAGGAATCGAACCCAGGGCCTCAGGCATGCAAGGCAAGCGCTTCTACCACTGAGCCAACTTCCCAGCCCCTTGCACATTCTTCTACACTGAAATGCATCCTCATTCCTTGTTGTTTTGAAACAAGACTTGACCTACAACACACAAACACATATGGCATATGCATGCTTACACAAACACAGGCATGTATGTACATATCTATCTATCTATCTATCTATCTATCTATCTATCTATCTATCTATCTATCTATCTATCTATCTATCTACCTACCTATCTATCCATCTACCTACCTACCTACCTATCTATCTATCTATCTATCTATCTATCTATCTATCTTCAAGAATAATTTCCACACTTATATTTTACTTTTTTTTTTCTGCTGGTACTGGAGATTGAACTCTGTAAACAGAAGCTTTAATACTGGAGCCACACCTCTATCTCTTTGTGCTCTGGTTATTTTTGAGATATGCTCTCATTTTTTTTTTGCCCAGGCCAGGCTGGACTGTGGTCCTCCTATTTAACCTTCTTGTTGTAATTGGGATGTTAGCTTTCACGGCCACACCCAGCCTTTTCGTTGAGAAGGGGTCTTGCTAACGTTTGTCTAGGAGGGCTATAGCTCATGATCCTTCTCATCCCTTACCTATTCTTTTATCAGTAATAATTCCCTGTTATGTGGAAGACTCAGTCTATAATCCAATACTTACTAATTTATCTACTCATATATATATATATATATATATACATACACATATATATCATGGAAAGTTTTTGTTCTTTCTCTGTCTTTTAATTATTGTTTGCCTCTACTCCTATTATCTTCTTCAATATAGACAACCTGAATTGCTTATATTTTTCTAATCCCCTAAGAAGGATAAGTTATACTTCTGTTATACAGTATGCCTATATGCTCCTGCATTTTTTTGTCCCCTCTCCTTTCTTTTTTGTCCTTTTGTCTCCTCGTCACACTGTATATTGTGAGCTCCTTAAGAGTCAGACGGTGTCTTCTTTGCGTATGTCTGGGATAGAGTTTATACTTAGTGAATGTTCAAGCCATGAGAGAGTCAGCACCATCCCACTCCTGCTATGTTCATTCCCACAGGTGAGAACACACACCAATACTACAGAAACCCCAGGTTTGTGATCTTCATCTTCTGCACTCCTGCTTTCTTCTTTAGTCTGTGATTTGCTTATTCCTCCCACGGCATCAGTCATCCTAGGCTCCTTCTCAACCTGTGCTCCTCTTAGCCCATGATACTAAGTGATGCAGCTCACTGTGGGTTCCCCATCCTGACAGTGAAACACAGGGCATCCTGGTCTCTCCCTCTCTTTGTCCCTGTGACTCACACTCCACGTCAGGTACCCATCAACATTTCCAGATTTTAATACTACTGAGCAACCCTAGCAACCTATTTGAAGTTATCTATTCTGTAGCACTTTCTTCCTGACTTCACTTGCCTACAGAGTTCTCCTTCTGTTATCATTGGAACGTCTCCTTACCACTGTCTCTCCAACTAATCATCTCTCAAAACAGAATTAAAGCAGAGGTTGAGCATTTAAAGCTCCTTGAGTGGATGGATGCAGGTTTTATGCACTTTCACTTGACTTCAACTCTGTCATATCAACTACCTTGGGTGGAAAGTTGACTAATGCTTACCACATTTCTCATCTGACAACGCCTCTTGGTGGCTCCTGTTTCTGTTACCATTCTGAAAGTAATAGATATTTTGTTTGAAAAATGAATATATCTGATCTATTATAAACTTAGGCAGTATGCACTGGAATCTTCCTGTCATCTTTTGACTCTTTTTTAAAAAACTGGTTTCTTAACCAATAAATGTTGACTTCAAACCTCTCCTTTCTTCCGAATTCCAGTAAAGTAATTAAATTTATCTCTGCATGAAGTTCAGGCCAACAAGCACAAACTCCTTCTTCTTGTTTTCCTTGGCCACTGGCTGTCACCTTCCACCTTTTATTCCACTAGAGAAATCTACAACTCCATCCTTTACCTGACTGCTCTATCCAAAACTTGACAGGTATCCTTCACATGTTTTGTGATGCACAGTTGTTTAGTTTTCCTTCCATCATTTCTCAGTGTCGAAGAACAGAGCCTATGAACAATTTATGATTTCTGATCTTCCTCAGGTGCCATGACTTGTATACTATTTATGACTTGTGATCCTCCTTAGGCATCAAGGATCTGGTTTTCACTATTCTCTCCCCACCTAGAAAGTGGCTCTAACTTCTTCTTCTCCCAACCCATCCCTCTGAAAACTACAATGCGACCTACTCTCTTCAGCTCTATGTTCCTCTGTGAGCACTGTCAGAGAGGGGTCTAATTTTCTGATTCCTATTTCTTAGCCCCTTCTCCTGAATAATACTTCTTCTCCACACTAAAATTCACCCAGACTTACCTCCCCGATGTCACCTTCTCACATTCAGTTCTCAGTCTTCAGTTCAACACCTCAGGCTTCTTTAATATACAGACTGCAATCCCAGGTCTTGCCACATTGTTTATTCCTTCTGCTCCTTTGGGATCAAAATTTTTCCTGCCTCTGCATTCTTCTCTTTCTCAGCTCCACTCTTCCTCCCACTACCCCAACTATGCCCAAACATCTAAGGCAAACGTACAGAT